TGTACTATGTAATTACTATTTCATCCTATTCTATGTATTCCATTCGCTCGCTTCCATTCTAATAAACATGACGGCATGCCATTGTGCACACAATTCGATATTTTGTATGCATTAGCGTGCAGGCAGGGATAGCCAACGTATAGATAGTAGTTAGTTTAGGTGTATGTGTGTGTTTTTGTGCGCACGATATTAGCCGCCTGGTAATATAATAAACTTAATTATCGGCTCTATGGTGCCTTTTATTTGGATATTCATGGCTAAGTGTGAAACAATGGATATGCCTTATTGCATTCGCGATATTGTATTATGTAAGTAGACAGCTGAATGTTAGTGAGATTCAGATTAATTATGTTCCACAAAATTTTGTATATAACAAGTACTTATGTCATAATTTTGAAGTATGTAATAGGAAATGCTGAGCGCGATAAAGGGATAACGAATAAGGACTAGAGCCCAGCTGGGCTGCCAACTTGGCTCAAATGGCACTCAATTTTTCAATTTTGGCACTTTGTGGAAAATTGTGATATGTATTTCAATTAGTGTTGGGAAGTGTCGAGTACTTTTGAGGATCGAGTTCTTTAGTATCGATACTTTTGAGGATCGGGTATTTTTGAGAGTACTAAGTACTTTTTTTTAATATACACATGTGGATAACATTTCAGTGCTTAGTGTAGAAATCTCACCAGCTGACAGCACTTTATCCAAATTAAAATATTAATCCCAAATTACGTCAAATGAATGGCTAACTTTACTGGATAAAATTATTGCACTTGAAAACTACATACCCGTAAGTTCAAATTAAGTACAATCATTTCTGAATGAGTATTTTTGAGTACTGACTACTTCCGAGCTCTTTCAAGTTCTGAGTACTTTAGTGTTCTTTTGTGAGTACTGAGTACTTTTGGGTTTTTAACTCAGAGTACTTTTGAGTTCTATTTTGAGTACTGAGTACTTTGGAGTACTGCCCAATACTAATTTCAATACATGTTTGTGAAATCCTTTGCGTATACTTCTTTTTCTCAACCAAAATTTTGTAATTTCTATAGTGTATACAACTGGCTTGTCTTACTTTGGCATTGGACTTTTGTTTTAGGAATGCATTTCTAATTTTAATACTAATTGGGAAGAATTAAAAATAATGATACCTTTTTTGGCACTTTTATTTTTCTATTTGGCACATTTCAGCACTTTTTTATCCTCAATATGGCACTTCATAGCTAAGTACAGTTGGCAGCCCTGGAGCTGAGGCGTCCAAGCAGTACCGCGATTACATAAACGTAGTGTGCGCTAATTCAATGAATTAGATTAATTTTTAAATGAATTGAGTGTAGGTCGCCTACAGAGTAGAGATGACGTTTTTAAATTGATTAAATCGGAGATCGATTAATCGAGCCCTTCCGATTCGATTTTTTGTCCATTTATTAGTTCCGATTCGATCCGTGAATCGATCAAAAAAATTCGAGAATTGGCATTCGATTTTTCATCAATTTAAGCCTATTGATCTACGGTTTGCCCTAGAAAATCTATAAAATTTTTAATAAAGTTGAATTTAAGGCTACAAAAAATGCATGCTTGGACAGCTCCCACCTTTTCAACCTGAGAAAATAGAGCCCAAAGAATTTAATGACCTGCTAACGACTGGGTAATAATACTACAATAAAAACTATAAGCTTGTGCATATCTAGCTCCTTCGTCAGCCCCTGCGTTGTTGGCACACATGAATGGTGTTACTTGAATGCCTGGAATTTTTTCGAAGACTGAATTTTTTCCGCCCAACAATGCCCAGCGGTGATTTCGCTAGAGTTGTTGATGATTCCCTACCTGGGGATGTTCAGATCTGCGTTTCTACTTTGGAGACTTGTCTATACCCCTTGCCTGGAAGATCGGCATGTTATGGATCTGCATTTCAGCTTCTGGCCACCTCTCAAGCATGCTTGCTACGCTTGTACACTCCGTAACCACCCTCTCCTTCTTGCAATCTACAAGAAGCATTCCTGACCTAAGGTGGACTTCACTCTTTTATGCGGACCCCCAGATTTGGATTTAGCCTGTTGCTCTCTGTGCCAAAGTGCTGGCTGACTACTTCTCCACTTTACAGTGAACGCGGTTCTCTGCTCTCGTGTTTTTCCATTTCTCCGATCGTCGGCGGGCAATATGGTCGCCCACTCCAATGCTGTCTCTCTCGTTTGGTCTGGGTAACTTCATCTGTTCGATGACGCTCGTCCTGTCACCCACGCCTTCGTTTTGCGAACTCCAGCTCAATGATTGTTTTTAAGTGAGCTATTTCGGGTGATTTGCCGTAGCGTAGTGATTTTAAGTAGCGGAAATTCTATTTATTTATCTACCGCACTACTCAACCCATGCCTTCCGTGATCATCTAGCCACGCTGGTCTTCCAGACGGTGTTAGTGTCGACTCTTCGCATCAAAAATGCTTCGTGATCGAGCTTTTGTATCTATGTATGCTCTCGAGACCTGGGTCTAAGGCAATGTCTGGACGACGATCCGCCGGATCTAGGTTTCGATAATCGGATGCGGTTGCCTTGCTCTGTATGGTAGAAAGTTTTTTTGCGCCTAGAAGTGCAAGCTCAATAGTCCTCGCAAGTGCGCAATAAACATGGAAAACTCTTTGACCGACGAAATTTGTGTGACAACTCGTTTTTGCAGCTGTTGTTTGGTTATTGTTTTTGCTGCCAAGCGGGAACTCAGTCATCGGCCGCGGTAGATTAGGTCACCGCTACTGCACAAAGAGATTCTGTGTTGAGAAGGGGCTGTTCGAATACAGCGGATTGTCCTCCTGGCTGCAAAGTGTATAATCGCACAGAGTTGTGTTGCACCCTGGATTTGGAGATGACAGTTTTTTGTCATCATCTACAAACATATCTGCATATCAGCTTGGACCTAAGCCACATAGGATTTAACTAAGCCTCTTCGCCACGGAAATATGTATGCCTGCCTCAGCGGGTTATAGGTAAGAGCGTTCTACTTTAAAAAGTTACATCATACGCCATTTGAGAAGTGCATGCATGTAAACGACTTATTTCAGAAGTAAATAGCACGGGTTGTTTACGCAACCATTTTAGCATACTTTTAGATGCCTTCGGCAAAAATTCTTCTTAATCCTGCATCTTATCAAATATAAAAAGTGGGAAACTTGCTTAAACAATATATTTTGTGCTAAATTATTCGCTCACCAGTTTCGCCTTCAATTAAAAGAACTAAATAGTTGACAAGTCAGTGCTAATTAAACCAAATGCATTACTGTCCATCAAATCACTACTAGCGGAATCGATCTTCGTCTACTACCTCATTTTGTATAATACTCGTAATTCCCAGCCTACTTTAAAAATTCGTCTGCTTATGAATTCCGCACAATTTAACAATTAAATGCAAGTCAGTCAATTCAAAACTTTTGCTAGCACTTAGCTACCCTCCCAGCAGTAAATATTTATCTGAGTTCATTAATCAATATTTTACTTCTTTAAGCGAGCACTTCAAAGGTATGCAAAATAAGCAAATAAAATACGCCACAAATTGCAGAGGAAAATCAAGAAAAAAAATTTTAGGAAAGGGGGAAATAAGCTTGCTTGCTAATTCAGCAACATCACCTCAACGAATCGGTAACTTTTCAGCAAAATCTACTCATCAACTTCCGACTCAGCGAATCAACGAGTGAATTTTACCACTTGAAATGTATGTTTTTTTTTCTAAATATATTGCACATAAATATTTTCACATGTTCCGTACGTAAGAAAATACTTATGTATGCGCATAAATAGAATACGCGAGCTGTACATACATATGTATTTGCTATGAGTTATGTGGCAGTGACGGTTGTGCATTTGCATAGTTGTTAAGCATACTTCAACATTATTCAAAATAAGTATTAAAACTACTTATATGAGAAACGTTGCTAACAGAAAAATGAATGTGTAAAAATGAAAATTTTCGGAAATCAAGTTTGGACGTTTTTTTACGAGACTTAACTCTACATTTATGCAATTGAAATTGTAAAATTTTGTGGTTTCCGTGTGCGCATGGTATTCTGGGTTTTGGTATAACATAGAACACCCAGCGGTTAATCAAGTCAACGCAATAACTCAAAACTGGTAAACTTGCACATTCATGCTTCTGGCATAAGGCCGACGATATATGTACATAAATACATGCATGAATAAATAAAAATTAAATCTGCTTTTAGGCGTAAAACAGCTGACATGGTTGGTTAAAGTACTAAATGGGTGTTGGTACTTTTGAAGCTAGCACACCCACGCACATTTTACTAGCAGTGTTGCCAGTTTAGCCATTTTACGGCAAGATTTAGCCGGTTGAGCTAGCAAACAGGCGGAGAATGTTTTGGCTATTTTTCTTCAGTTTATATAGTTATTATTTGTTTAATAAAAGTGTAGCTTAAAAACGCCATTTAAATCCAAATTTCACACTTTGTGCAAACATTATGAAAATTCTGCAAATTTTCATCAAAATTTTTGAACTTTAAAGATTTCAAATTTTAGTATAATAAAGTGCAAATTTGAAGTCACCAACACATGCCGTTGATTTTTGGCAATTTTTTTGTTGACGGAGTTCCGCATTTTTTCCCCAGATAAAAAATGGTGGAATACACTTTTTATGGAAAAAATGCGTAACACCGACCTACAAAAAATGCAAAAAATCAACGGTAGGTCCTAGCTATTTCAAATTTGCACCATATGTTAAAATTTAATAGACCAAAAAACTGCATAGCATAACGAAGATTTTTCATAATTTTGCACAAAGTTTGAAGTTTGGATTTATATGGTGTTTGTTTTGTATTCAGCTATATTTTCATAGGAAAATAATAAACATTAAATAAACTAAGGAAAAATAGCCAAAACTAAAATACTAAACACTAAACACACTAAAACAAAAACAACTCTTGAGATTTGCTCATATATGACATGTAAATGCCCTTTACATGCAATTACAATCACAGTTAAATTTTAATTCCTCTTCCCACTTCCAGCAAAATGAGGATCGCTTCACCACCGTTGAACTACCCGCCAGCGCCAAAATGCCGAACAGCAGCAGCGCCCCGGCCACAGCAGCTGCAACAAGCACCACACCCGCTAGCGGCGGCAGCAGCGCACACAGCAAAGCTATCAGCATTAGCATTGGTGGTGATGGGCCCGATGGTCCACCAGGTGGCGGGCGTGATCCCATCGATGCAATCAACTATCCACCAAATACGCCCACCACACCTGCTTCGAAGGTAGCCATTGGCGGTGGCGATTCGGGTGCTGCACTCATTGCACTCGACACAGGTGAGCCCAGCGAGCCGGAGCGTGGCAATTGGACGGGACGCTTTGATTTTCTACTCTCACTGCTCGGCTACTCGGTGGGACTGGGCAATGTGTGGCGCTTTCCCTATCTGTGCTACAACAATGGCGGCGGTAAGTATGATGCGTGAAGATGACAGTGAATTGGGACTTTTTATGTAGAATTCTCTGTGGTGTGTTTTTTTGCCAATTGCTCTTTTTACAGGCGCCTTCCTCATACCCTTTACAATAATGTTAATTATCGCCGGCTTGCCGCTCATGTTCATGGAACTTTCATTCGGTCAGTATGCCGCATTGGGTCCAATAGCAATCTATCGTCGCTTTTGTCCACTATTTCGTGGTCTCGGCGCTGGCATGGTTATCGTCTCGGCCATTGTAATGCTCTACTATAATTTGATTATTGCCTGGACAATATTCTATATGTGCGCTTCGTTTCGTCGTGTGCTGCCATGGCAGAATTGTGAAGCTGCTTGGAGCACTGAAAGTGAGTACCACAACAAAAGTTACTATCTTAATATTTATTATATTAAATACATATTTAAGTATGTATGCGTAAATGTTTGTATGTATGTGCTTGAGTTAGGCAGTAGGGATAAGTAAAATTCAGAGCGACCTCAGGAGGCATTAAGACATCCTGCGTCAGCTTCATTTTGTTGAATTGTTAGAGTTAATTTAATGCTGTGTTGCGTTTAGCCGATTAAGTGAAAATTTAATGTGGGTGTCATAATTGACTTAAAAATATACACTTAGTTGGGGAAAAGAGAGTACAAGTTTTTGCTTACGCGGCGTAAACTTTACAACTTGCAAGTTTGCGTTACAAAGGCGTGATGATATTTTAAGTTCGCCAAGAGAGAATAATGTTTGCAATCAAATATTCACAAATATGTATTGGAAGTCTTAAGTTTTTTGCTACTTGTAAGCCGCGGTTTTGCCATGGAAAACTGAAAACTTTAAAATTTAAAATTTTTAGAAAGATTGGGTTTTTAGTTTTTCACTCTGACGTCAGTAATTCAAAAATTATTAAAAAATTCACAGAAATGTGCTTAGAGGAGAAGTGTGGGTATCAAGATTCAAGCTTTTGGTGCAAAAGGACTGGTAAGTATTGAAAATGTTCTTTTAAAATTGTATCCTTGAAATTTCGCAATAGTTGTTTTTGAAAAATTATATGTTAAGGACTTATATAAACTCGATAACATCCTCGAATTTCGTCCTTCTAACTTTATTAGCTTAAAAAATTACCTATTAGTCCTTGTGAATCCAAAAATGTTTAATTTTTTAAATTCTAAGGAAATTTCCTCTTGCATTTCGTACCCATATTTTGGTTCTACATTGCATTGAATTTTTTAAATAGTTTTTGGTATTAATCATATCTTTGAAATAACAAAGTCCTTTAAAATAAATCCTGATGTCAGAGAAAAAAAATAAAAACGCCGCGATACAAAAATCATGTTTGGTGACTTTAATGCCTGGATAGGCAAAGGGAGTACTTTTGGTCTTCCAGTTAAAAATTTAGCTCACGCGACTAAACCTCCACTACTGCTGATCGACTACATTGGAGCCTAAGAAAAGCATACAAAGATTCAGTAGCAAAACGTTGATGCCACCAGATCGAAAAACGCAAAACCATATCGATCTTGCTGTGATAGGCGAAAGTAACGTTTCTAGTGTTCTAAACATATATACATAGGTAGTACGAGCAGCCAATATTTGTACGTAATCGGCTCTATATAGTAAAGCTCGTCATCTTAATAGACAAGGAAAACTCGGAAGCCAACAGATTCAACACTCAGCTCTCGTTACCCCGACAGTCGCATCTAGGTAACCGGAACGACCTATATGCATATCTGGCCAAGTACTGTCACTAGCATCGCTCCTCAAAAACTCTTTGGTGAATTTGCATGCTATTACAGCAACAGCACTCAGCTCTCAATGCGGCTCTCTGATATCATTGTTCAACACATCAATCCCTACCATGATTCTCGCTCTCTACATACCGCATAGGCGTCAGTCATATTTTAGCGAACTTGCAAACACTATTAGTTGGTAGGATGAGGAATATCCAGTCGCTTCAGGAGAGTAAGACGCTTCCTACACTGGTACGCTACCATCGGGCGCAATTCGAGCTGTGCGAGAGCGTTGTCGAGAATTGAGAAGACAGAAGCGACGTATTACAAAAAAAAGGAAGACAGTGGCAGAAATACTTGAGTGCGTAGAGCTTGAGATGCTGGTCCGTAGAAAAACGCCCAAAATTTTTTCAGAAAAATAATAATGAGCTGGTGAACAATGTCCAAAGTACCCTTAATAGACCTGTTAACCTATGCCTAGAAGGCTGACCCCGCCGTAGTTGGCGCGAATGGCGGAGTCGCCTTTCTTGTGGATTGGGAAGAGCACACTTAAATTCCAGTCGTCGGGCATGCGTTCATCTTTGCGTTTTCTGCATAAGGGTTGATGTATGCACCTCATCAACTCCTCGCCACCGTACTTGAATAGCTTAGCTGACAGGCTATCAGCTGCAGCAGATTTGTTGTTTTTCAGCCGCGTTATTGCTAGTAGTACCTCTTCATAGTTAGGCGGTGGATCATCGACTCGGTCATCATCGACTGGGGGCTGGGGTTCTTCTTCTACACAAATTTCCGTGCTCCTACCATTTAGTAGCGTGGAAAAGTGTTCCCTACATAATTTAAGTACGTTCTGAACATCGGTAACTAGGTCGCCATTGCTATTCTTACAGGAGTACGCCCTGGTCTTGAAACCTTCCGTAAGTAGCCTAACTCTCTGTCGGCCAGCATTTCAAGCTATTCACACTCATGTATTTCGGCCTCTCTCTTCTTATTGCGGCAAATACGTCTCGCTTCCCTCTTTAGTTAGTTAGTTAGTATAGCGGTCCCACATAGCGCGCGTTGCACTCGATCGCAGCGGGGCCCTGTAGACGGCATCTTTTTTCTTCGCAGCTTCCTAACACACCTCATCGTACCAGTTTCGGGCTCGCTGAAATCCGACTACTTCTTCGTCGGTGGTACTTAATGAGCGAGAGATGTGGTTCCCCTGCTCGCATATGTCGTTTTGTTGGTTTCTCGTTTTTCGATCTGTAGACAACCACGTAGCTTGATGGATCTTTTTATGCTTTAACCTAGTACTGCATATTACCAGGTTTCGGGTCCGGACGAAGTCGATCAGCCTCAGTCCGTTGTCTGACGTTTCGTCGTGGAGGCTGAATTTTCCGACAATGGTTCCATAAATCCACTCCTTGCCTACCCTGTCCAAGCACGGTTTTGATATCATGGCGAAGGCAGCGCTCATATGTGCGCTCCAAGCGCTCATAAAAAATATTCTTGGACGCCTCCTCCTTCTCTTCCGCCATGGCATGGGCGCAGATGTCTAGAGTTTAGTCAAGCACATAGTGGGACTTTCTGCCATTCTCAGACCACTGAGTGCTGTCTGTTCTGCATTCGTATATATGTATATACAAATATGTAGGTGCCATTAATGTCCAAATGAATAGTAACCACTTCATAACACCTGTCGGCTATAAGTTCTGAATATAGAAATGCACAAACTGAATCTATGAATAGGTACCTGCATAATCGTTTCCTTCAATAAATGCTACCAATTCCTCTCTCCGCGTAATGTATATGTCAGCATCTGAATGACACTCTACCACTCTAAGTTCTACGTATGTTCTACTGAATCGAACACTAATGTAAATACGTATACAATCCAATCCACGGAGCACGTTGTTGCCTCATCTTTATGTAGCTCATAGCTATCGATTTCTCGTCTTGCGTGCTCAGAAAATAAAAGCGGTTAACTGTGGAAACGGAAGTGAAAAGTTAGCAAATGGCTACGAGGAAGCGCTGAAATGTAGGACGAACGGCCAGAATAATGCGTAGACTGACAGCAGGCAGGCAGGCCGCTAGACGCGCAGACAATGCCGAATGCACAATCAAAGCAATAACAGCGTTAGATACTCGTACTACAATACGGCAACATAGCTGAAGGGCAATAAATTGTGCGAGTGCGCTGAATGAAGAATGGACGAGCAGCAGCTAGAGTAAGGATGTTAGTGGATACAGTCAAAAAAAAAATGAAGGTAAACGCGAAACGAGCCAGCTGCTGTATATGTAGATAGTTAACAGTGAAATTGCAGGCATTTACCATTTCTGTGCTTATTGTTGTTGGGTGTTTTTCGTTTCTTACTTTCTTCTTTTGACTTTGAAGAATTCGAAAGCAATCTAACCGAAGGATACAGTTTCCATTGGCATAGCTGAAATCGCACGTTAAACGCATGAACTAAAGAAATCAAGTGCAAGCGTAGATGTTTGATTATAAAAAAGCCTAAGCGAAAGTCTTACTGAATATGCCACGCCCGTTTTCACTTAACTGCTTACATTGTTCCAAAGTCATTACGTACGCGGAATTTTTCCAGCTGAAATCTCGAAATCAATCGTGGTACTTGGAAATCATAGTTGCAAACTTTAAGAATTTCTCACCAAAAACGTAAAACCGTTTTTGCGTAAAAAATAAAAGGTTACACTCTTTCTCAAATAATAGAAGCTATAGCTGTTATTTCACAGATCAAGCATAGCTCTACTACGAACTTTAATGACTGCACTATGGCTATTTAGAGCCGCCTAAGACTTCTTTCTCTCCAAGGACTCTGCTTTGCGCTTAATTTAGAGACTGACCTTGTTTTGGAGGACATAAAATCAAGGCTGATTTGATTTTGCAAGCCTTATGTATGTATTAACATTTAGAATAGGGGATACTCTTTACTGAACAGTCGAGAAATAATGAATGTGCGCAAATTAGCCGCCCATCAAGAAGACGAAAAATGTATTACGATTGTCATTAGAATGTCTGTTTTTAACTTTCATCTAATCATAGATTAGCAGATGCGCAAAATGTTTCCGCCGTCTCATCTTTTTCAAGACCGAATATTTTATATCTGCTGTCCAATTTGCTCAGTGCTGAGATTGAGGACAATGTGGCTTTACCCTCCTCGTCATCATTAAGTGATAAGACTTCAAAATTAGCGACTGCCATAATGTGTTCCGGGCTCTTAAAGGTATCGGTCAGAGCCCATTGCCTAGAGGGACGATGAGCGCATACAGTTACTTTTTGATACCGACACCCAGAATAGCAAAAGAACTGGTTACCACCTTAGTTTTGGTTGTGCTGCCACTGCAGCCACGTACACTTTAACGCTTTCAGAACTAAAAGGAATATTTTGCCCAAAGGATTTTGTTCAAATTTTTTTTTTTTACATAGAAATACACATTTGTTTAGAAAACTTGAAAAATTTGTCAAGCATTAGAAAACACTTCTTAGAAAAAATTATTTTGAAAAAATTATGAATTTTTAGAGAAAAAATAAGGGCGTAATTTTTAAAAACCATTTTTCCATACAAAAAAAATATGTTTATAAAAAAACTAAAGCAAAAATGTTTGAAAAGAGAAGTAATTTTTAGAAAAAAAAAATTATTTC